AGGTCTGCCACTTTGGAGGAACTACTCCAATTGTCGGAGAAACAAATGTGGTGGATTACCCATGTTGGGTTGTAGGAGGCAATAGCTATTACAATGGTATATGTTGTGGATTAGTTGCCAAGAAAATCACGGAGAACGGTTTTCACAATTGGATCATTGAGAAAAGGGGGGTGTTTTGTTAACGGGGAACAAGGAACTATCTATAGTTGTCGCGATATAAATAACTGTACTTATCCGAGCCACAAGAACATATACATACGAAATATGAGAATTTTCACCTCTATTTTTTAACAAACTAACGACTTTATTTAGATAAGGACATAACAACTGCAGTTTTTACAATGCAGAACATGCAAGACAGAAAAAAAAAATCCCATCACCGCGAGCAGCCGGCGACGAGGCTCACACGGGGGAGCTCCTATATGGCGCCTTTCGCCACATTTCTTTGCTGGCGCTCATGCGCCTGGGCCTGGCCCAAACAAAAATGACCTGGCCTGTCGCTCGGATCGCACGTCTCCCTTTCGATCACATCGTTGGGTTGATGCTTGCCTGTTAACCGTTGACCATTTGACTTTTTGTAAATAAATTTATTAGCGAAATCCATAAAAAATATGAAATTTGGACAAAGAAATCATGGATTTGACATAGTTCATAGATTTGTAAATAAGTTCAACATTTTAAATTTTCATGAATCTGGAAAAAGCCTAATTAAATTTGAAAAAAAAATCAGTTCATAAAATTTTGAGAAAAGCTCAGGGATTTGAAAAACAATCATGGCTTTGAAAAAAGTTCATCGATTTTGAAGTTCATCAATTTTGAAAAGAAGTTCACAAAAGTGTATTTTTTTAATCGTTTTTGGAAAAAACATTCATCGATTTTGAATAAAAGTTCGCCGAATTTGAAAGTAGGTTCATCTATTTTTGAAAAAAATCATAAGTTAAAAAAGTTCATGGAATTCAAAAAAATAAAGAAAAGTGAAAAATGTAAGAAAAACAGAAGATAACCTGCCAAAAAAAGGGTTAACGTTGCTTACTTGAAGAAGAATAGAGAAGGTAACTAGGCACAACAGGAGAGCTTCCTAGTTGGTTATCGTGGTTGTACACACCCTACTACGGGATCCCCTAGCTGACGCTCGCGTGCGTCAAGAAGACGAGCATTCGCACAGGGCGCGATTGAATGGGCCGGCCCGTTTCTTGGCGTTACAGCGAGCCAGTGCTAAAAATCCCAAAAAACAACGCTAAACCTAGGAATCGAACTCCCAACCCAACGATAGAGAGAGAGCGTTCCTTCCCACTTGAGCTGCTGCGTGATTGCATTCAAAAAGCGGCGTGACTACTTAAGAACAATATGTAGTGACTGATCCAAAAATAAAAAATCGACCATTGAACATTTGTTGATATACCTTGAACATTTTCGTAATATACGATGAACATTTCTCAAATACCCATTGAACCTTTTTTGTGATATATGCTGAACAATTTGAAAATACATATTTAACATTTTTGTGATATAACTTGAATAATTTGAAAATATACATTGAACATTTTTCTGATATATGCTGAACACTTTTTAAGTAGACAACGGACATTTTCTTAATATACGGTGAACATTTTCTTAAATGTATGATGAAGATTTTTTTAATATGCTATGAACTCTTGTATAATACACAAGAAAGGAAGAAAATTTAAAATAAACAGAGGAAACATACTGTTCATCATATTAAAGTATTAATGAAAAAATGCAGGATGAAACATTTCCTTAATGTAAAAAAGAAAAGAGAAAGAGAAAGATAAAACTAGAAATAGAAGAACAAAAATAATGTAAAAGAACTAGAAAGGTAAAACCGAAAGATAATAAATAAAACAAAACAAAAAGGCAACAGAAGAACACGAACGAAAAGACAAAACAGCGAACAGGCAGCACGCTCTGCAGCGAACTGGGCCGGCCCGCCCGCGTGCCCTTCAGTGAAGCTGCAGCAGTTTGACGCACGCGGGCGTCAAATAGGGTTCGCCCCCTTTTACGCTCGTTTTTGTAGGTTTTACAGAATAAAAAAATAGTATAAGATGGGCCGGCCCAGCCTGGAGGGGTTGTGCGCCCGTTTGGATATATCAAAGTAACGCGTTGAAGGCGCCGGATAGGAAATGTGCCAGTACGGAGTGAAAAAAAAAATCCGTTTATATACAACGCTTGGACAAGGAAGAACGGAATTTCCTATTCGCCGCTCCTTGCCACAAGTTGCCGGAGAAACGCACAGGCCAGCGGCCGATCGACGCGACTGAGCCGGCCGAGTAGATAGCATTGGCACTACCCCTCCGGTTTTGGGAACCTTCCAGAAGGTTCCTTGAACCGGTTTTTTCACCCTTTTTTGTTTTTTATTCTTTTTCGTCTGGTTTTTCTTCTTTTTTTTTAATTTTCTTTTTTAATTTTCCAGAAATGTTCAATATTCTAAAAAAGATCAAATTTTGAAAAATGATTCTGTTTTCAAATTTTGTTCCTAAATCTAAAATTATTCCTTATTTTGAAAATGGTTTCAAAAAATGTTTGTGGTTTGAAAATTTACTTCACAATTTCAAAAAATGTTCTCGTTTTGAAAATTTGTTCACAAATTGAAAAATTGTTTGGGGAGTTTCAAATTGTTCACAAATTCAAAAATTGTTTCCATTCGTTCTCATTTTATAAATTTTGTTCTGAATCTAAAATGTCGTCCCTGTTTTTAAATTTTGTTCACCAATTTAAAAATGTTCATGTTTTCAAACATGTTCTAGAATGTTGAAAAATGTTCATGTTTTCAAAAATGTTTTGAAAAATTGAAAAATGTTCATGTTTTATATAAATTGTTTAAAATTCCAAACTAAGTCCATTTTCGAGTTTTGTTTACAAATTCCAAAAATGTTCACATTTACGAAAAATGTTCACGAAGTTGAAAATTTCTTCATAGCTTTCAAAAGATGATGAGAAATTTTTAAATTCGTTCGCGTGTGTTAAAAAATATTCGTAACTTAATTAAAGTGTTCTAAATTTGAAACATTGTTTGCAAGATTTTAGGTAATGTTCCGGTTACGCCACTAAGTATAGTACTTTATGATTCACTCTGCTAGTTTCGTCGACAATGTTCAATAGGTGGACTGGTTAGCTGGACTCATTCGCTAGCATTGTCTCTAGTTAGAATCCGAGCTTGTGTGACGCATTGTTTTTGTGATTTTTTTATGCCGGACAACTTGGTTTGGTCAACTCAAAATGGGCCGGTTCAGTCAGGCGCGCGGTGTGCGAAGGGAGGTCTGTTTGCCGCATAATGCGGTGAATAGGAGCTCCCAGGAAGAACTGCAATAGACATAGCCAAAGTCGCGACATCGTCTGACGAAAGAGCATGAATGTGCAAGCTATATCTCTAGCTTTGTCTTTTCATGGGAACAGACATGAATGGTCACATGGCCAAAACGATGTACTACTCTGCAATGGTGGAGCTTGAAAGAAAAGGCTGGGCGGGCCAAACTAAGAAAGAGCATAAATTTTTGTAGGTATTAGTCACTAGGTATCTTTTGTTCTCATTGAATTTGCACCCTATATTTTAACAAACAAGTTACTACTTCCTCCGTTTCAAAATAAGTGTCTTTAATTTAATATAAAGTTGTGCAACATCAACGACACTTTTCTAAAATAGAGGGGATACTAATCTTCTATATCTTTTTATGCATTGTTTCAATGATCTTCATACACTAAAATGAACTTAACGAAGAATACTACGCATTACACACAAAAGAAAAATTATCCCTTACCATGTAATTGTACACATAAATTGATAATAAAATGCATGGATGCTGCTCAGTTCAACCAATGGATAACAGGCACACACCGCTCCGCAAATAATTAGAAATTATCTAGCGCAGCTCCATCAGAGACAGGAGGTGAACATAGAGTTGAGCTGTTCTACTCGGCGTCACTTGAGCCCAGATTGTCTTTGTAAAAGGGCAGTTGAGCCCAGATTGTCTTCGTAAAAGGGCAATTCCAGAACAGGTGATCCGAGGTCTCGAGGTTCCTGAGTTAGAGCTGGCAAAAGTAGCAGTTAGGCCAGCCCCTACGTTGGAGACGGTCGTTGCACCACATCCGGTTCTGGTGGAGGAGCCACGCAAACATCTTGAGTTTCGCCGGAGCCCAGGCGTCCCAGATCATGGCGTCGAACGTGCCCGACGTCCAGCCCAAGAACTGGAGGGCGTAAGCCGAGCGGGAGATGTACCGTCCTGACCCCTCCGAGTTCCAGCAGACTTGATCTTGTTCTTCTGTCTGAAGGCTGAGCTGCCGACACTGAATGAGTCGATGCAGATCGAGAACCTCGCTTACCAGGTCGTTGTTGTTGCTCTGTGCGAGGTCCAAAACCTAGCGGTCGCCGTTGAGAGGCGCAAGGGCAGAACTGTGGGTCGGAGGCTTCTGGTCAGCACCACGGCAGGATCCCAACGATCGGGGCCATGATGCCTTGTACAATGGTACGTGGATGCTTAGGGATGTGCTTAGAAAAATAAACATATTTTTTTTGAAGCACTAGTACCTATTTCTACAGGAGAGACGCTTCGTTAAGCATCTACCCTGTATAAATAGGCATTGGTGCTTAAAAAAAGTCTGATTTATTTTTTAAAGCATTTTTTCTAAGCACTTTGCATTATACAAGACCTGACTAGCAGAGGCCAGAGCCCGGAAGAAAGGGAGGATGGTGCCATGGCGAGGTCGTGAGCAGGCGGAAGGAAGCGTGAGGACCGGAGGTAGGAGATTGGGAGGGGGATGGGCGCTGTCTCTACAACACGAGATATGCGTTGTGCGAGATGCACGCGGCGGCGTGACAGACAGATGCTCTCATATGTCTGCACGGCGGCTGCGGCTCCGGCTCCATACGATCAACAGCAAACATCATCTGTTGCCGCTGGACGGAGTGGTCCCGACACCACAGGCGAACTATCTAGCTTGCTCTCTCCATCTCTTGGCTGCGCGCCGACGCTGTGGCCCGTGGTTCAGGAATTCTTCGCGGTGGTGGACTGCGGCGACGTGCGGCAGAGCGGGCAGCTGGGCCGCCGGCGCAGCCACTCATCGACGCACCGCCGGTGGAACGCGTGCCGGCACCCCGGCAGCCGCCGGAGCTCGTCTCCGTCCGCGTACATCGCCAGGCACACCGCGCACGTCGTGTCGCCGGGCAAAGGCGCGGTGGCGGGCTGAACATCGTCATCTACGCGTGTTGGCGAGGAGTACACCGACGTCGGATACGCGGCCAGCTCGGCCTCGGCGATCCCCGCGGTGGCGCACCGGCAGCCGAGCTCGATGTCGTAGCCCGGGTGCGACGACGATGATGAGGAGCCGTGCCCCTGACGCCGCCGGCTTGAGCAGAGGAAGGTGAGGACGGAGAGCAGGACGAGCGCGGCCACCGAGGCGTAGATCAGCACGGTGTCTCTAGACATGGTGGTGACAGCGGCAACCTGACCGTGCGACCACATATATAGTCTACTTTTGTCCGCGCGTCGAGCGGCAGGCAGCGCAACACTGTCAACGAGCGAATCAACGCGCCAATGACCAAATCTACCAACACGTCTTCTTGCCGTTTCTTGCTCAACAAAGTCTCTGCCTTCTGCTTGAACTATTCATGTTGAGATATACAGGGTTTTGATTGATTTATTTATACAAAAGGAAAAAAAATGCACATTAGTAGAACGAGATATCTTCGTCCCTAACTTTATCTGACAGAAATGCACATTGACACCTCTGCTAATTGTTTTTGGTAGGAGATGATTCTGGTCGGTGGCCGGCCAACGCGGGAAGGGAACTGGATTAATGGATGGCTAATTCTGTATTGGCCACGTGTTGTTCTTTCGAGTTGCCACGTGCAGTGGCGGAGGTAGAGGGTGGTCAGGGTGGGCCATGGCCCACCCTGAGATCTGAAAACAACATTTATACCATAGGAGAAAAACTAAAAAATAAAAGAAAATAAATAAATGTACATGTACAATACACTGCTGGCCCACCCTGGCCCAGTGGGCTAGGTCCGCCACTGGCCACGTGTTGTTCTCCGTCCGATGCTGTGCTATGTCGTGCATGCCGTGCAGTGGAATTTACGAATTTTCTCCCATTGTTGTTTAGGTGAAGGGACATAAGTTACAGCCCGGGCCAGACCAATTCAGGCTCGTCATCTCGTGGACAAGCATCTGTGTTCTGCGTCGCACCCGGACCGGACGGCTAGAAAAAACACATGCTCTGGTTTGTCCACCATTTTGTATTAGCACATAATCCCTCCGTTCTAAAATATTTGTCGTAATTTTAGTTCAAAATATGTGACAGTGTTTTTACTACGACCTGAATTCTTTTATGCAAACAATTCATTGAAATCTGGTATGTTCGCACCCCGATTAACCCACTCAAAATAAGCATCCTTTGTCACAGTACTTTTTCAACAAATTGTCATGCTGATTATTAAGTGGTAAACACAGAACCCACTCAACCATATGTCTGATCTGACGCTAAAGAAACATATGTTTGACTCATTAAACATTGGTTGGTTCACGTCTTGTTTTTATGGTTTGTATAGTACACATCATTTTCGAGCATCGAGGGGTCAATTTTTTTTAGGAACCGAGCAAGAGATGCTCTTTTTTAAACGTCTTTGTACAGGACTTTGTCCAATTGAACGCCCTAAAAAAAATACTCAGTCCGATCCCAAATAAAGGGTGTGCATGTTGTTTCATCAGTACCAACACCAGTTAAATCCACCAAGCATCCTTATGGGGAGAGAGAGAGAGAGAGGCGTCAGGGGAGTATGTTGTTATTCGGCCCGCAGAAGCGACCCAGTGGTACCCATGTGCGGGGCAGGATGCCCCCAATTTCGTTTCTTTTTCTCTTTTTGCTTTTATTCTTTCTGTTTTTTCTTTTTAAAAATAATTTGGTTCAAAGCAATTGTGACTTTAAAAAAACCAGGAAATCATAACAAATTCGTGAATTAAAACTGTTCATGATTCTAGAAAATGTTCGAGGATTAAAATATGTCCATGATTTCAGACAAATGTTTGGGAAATCAGAAAATGTTCATGATTTTGGAAAGAATGTCCACGTATTAAAAAATGTTTAAGAATTGGAAAAATGATGCTAATTTGAAAAATATTAATGGAAATTTAATAAAAGGTTCACAAAATTTTCAAAAAAGTGTTCCAAAATATCAACAAATGTTCATGCATTTAAAAAATGCTCCCAAATTTCAAAAAATGTTCATCCATTCAAAACTGTTCACGACTCAAAAAATTGATCAAGAGTTTCCAAAAAATGTTCACAAATTCGAAAAATTCCATAATTTAATTTTTTTTCCTGAATTTTAAAAATGTTCAAAATTTGAATAACAATTCATATTTAAAAAATATTTGCGATTAAAAAAAATCTTCATGATTTCCCAAAAATGCAAATTGGAAAGATGTACGAAAAATAAAAAAATAAAGAAAAATGGTAAATAGAAAGAAAAGAAAAGGAAGAACAAAAACAAAAGTAAAAACACAAAAAAAAACTGTTGGGGAAGGTTCTAAGAGCCCATCCCATAACCGGTAGAATCTAGTTTGTCCGGCCCAAGTGTATACAGCAGGGGACCGGGTGTCTAGGCGGTACGCTGCTAATTCGGACGAATCACAACACGATCATGTTTCCTATATAATCCATATTACGGTTGGGTTGTATAGTGATTGCAGTCTTATCTTTAGACCGCCACGTAATCTAGAGAGACAATAAAAAATATTGTGCTACTGGTTATTTCTTAGGATTTATCTTTAATAACCAAATATCTCTAAATATATGATGAGACAATCTCTACTTCTAATGGAGCAGTTGGTAGTCTCGCTTCCAGGTTTTTTTTCGTCCCACCTCATCCGGTTTTTTTTTTGGTACTTCTTTGGTACTTCCTCCCACCTCCCACCCGTTTCATTTCGCTGGTTTTTTTCGTCCCTCCCCTACCCCACCGGTTTAGTTTCGCGTCACCCTCTCACACAACGAAAAAAATCTTAACGGATCATAACTTTCCATGCGTCACCCTCTCATCAATGCAATTTGATTTAGGAAACATATAATAAATTTTAAGGAAACAAATAACAGACTTTAAAGAAAAATCCAATTTTAAGGAAACAAATCAATCGATCCATCCAAATCAAACGATCCATCTCATCAATGCAATTTGCTTTAGGAAACATATAATGGATGTGAAGGAAACAAATAATAGACTATCTAAATCAATCGATCCATCCCATCAATGCAATTTGATTTAGGAAACATATAATAAATTTTAAGGAAACAAATAACAGACTTTAAAAAAAATCCAATTTTAAGGAAACAAATCAATCGATCCATCCAAATCAAACGATCCATCTCATCAATGCAATTTGCTTTAGGAAACATATAATGGATGTGAAGGAAACAAATAATAGACTATCCAAATCAATCGATCCATCCCATCAATGCAATTTGATTTAGGAAACATATAATAAATTTTAAGAAAATAAATAACAGACTTTAAAGAAAAATCCAATTAACTAATCTCTACTCTTAAAGGCCCCTCGATTGATTTTTGTCCCTCGCTTCCTTTCTCAGCACTTATACAATGGAAGGAATTATAATCCACCTATTTGTTCTCCTATATATCCGTGCAGGCAACACAACATAAAGTGGTGAAAAAAACACTCACCTCGCACGTCCCCCTGCCTGCAATCCCGAAACGCCGCCATCGCTCCAGGCTCCAGCCTCCGCCGTCCTACATCTTGCCCCTCTCCAACCTCAGAGACCTCCGCCACCGCCGCCATCTCGGAACCCCAGTTCAGGGCAGGACTCAGAGAGGGTGTGGCTGTGGACGACGCTGCCGCCGTCGCAGAACCCTAGGGCAGGGCGTGGTCGCATTGCGGGCAGCGCGAGCGGCCGTGCGTCTCCCCCGTCAGGCTGTCCTCGGCAGGAACTCGGGACCTCCTCCTGACAGAGCTAAGGCCCTCCGAGGTCCAAGTCGCTGTGCGGCGTGTACAGTAATCTCCCCGGCCTACTCTGTCTTCACGTCAATGCTCATGTGCTCCGACCCTCCCCGACCCCTCCCAGCAAGCAGCAGAGTCTCTCGGGTTCGAGCTCCACCGGGCCGCCGGCGGCGGCGTCCATGTTCGTTGGGCGGAGCACAACGCTAGGTTTGAAATTCACCATGATGCTACTGATGAGGCTCTCCTTCTCCTTTGTTTCGTCTGGGTTTTTTCGTCCCCCCTCCCACCACCCCATCTCGTCTGGGTTTGAAATCAATAAGAGCAGCACAAAGTCTAGGTCCCTGTCTCGGTGGCAGACGGAAGGAGAAGAAGGATTCATATGTATGAGAATATTAATATTGAACTCTTAAAGTTAATGTGGCCCCGTTGCAACGCACGGGCGTTCTTCTAGTTGTTATTAAAGATTGTCTCTTAATTAAGAGAAGAATTTTGTTCTGACGATTCTATTTGGCACTAATAAAATAACATTATTGTACATTCCCTTAGTTAATCTTTTGCCTGCCGAGAGTCGGGATGACTCTATTTGACACTAATAAAATAACACCATTGTACATTCCCTTAGTCGAGTACATTTCTGGACTGGATTGCTAATCGGTAACCGCAGAAGCTTTTGACGTACCAAACTCTAATAGCTTCTGCGGTTAGCAATCCACTCCAAGAATGAATGTCCCAGCTAGCTTTCCAATTTAGCAGCTGTGTCATTTCAGAGGGAACGAGTCATGGTCACATCACATGGCCATGACGACCTACCTAGCTTAGCTACGCAGTGGCGGAGCTTTGTGGGGGTTAACCTGGGCCATGGCCCCCCCAGCTCACAAGAATACATGTATATATTTTTTTTGTGTTAAGTCTATTTTTTACTAAAATCAGCTGAAAATAATCATGTTTGCCCCCCCCCCTCCACCCCATGGCCCCTCCATGATTTCTACTCAAGCTCTGCCACTGTAGCTACGTACTTACTCCCTCCGTCCAAAAATACTTGTCGGAGGAATAGATGTATCTAGATGCAATTTAGTTTTAGATACATCCATTTTCATCCATTTCTCCGACAAGTATTTCCGGATGGAGGGAGTACTATATACATCTTCCGGCACTTAGGTGGTCACAAATTGCTCCGTACGAGGCATCGAGCGCGACTCTTCTTGCCGCTATCCGGCCGGAAACGGTCCCGATTTCTGACAGGCTACATCGGCATGCTGCTGACGCTGTGACGGTTAGCATGCGCCGGTGGTGCTCTGCTCTGCGGCGACGTGCGGCAGAGCGGGCAGCTGGGCCGCCGCCGGAGCCATTGGTCGACGCACCGCCGGTGGAACGCGTGCGCGCAGCCGGGAAGCACCCGCAGCTCGTCGCCGTCGGCGTACTCTGCCAGGCACACCGCACACCCGCGTTCCCACTCTTTCACTGTCCGCTCACCGGTA